AGAGATGGGAAGTGTGCCGTCCTCCCCGAAAGAACAAGTCGAAGAAAATGAGGGATACGTTGTCGGAGAACTGATAAATCTGGATGACATAGAAGGAGGGAACAATAAAGCCATAGAAGTGTTCCTAGCGGAAGGTAGACAGGAGGGGGAGAAGGAGGAGTTAAAGTTGTGGAGGTGAGATGAGATAAAAGAGGAGGAGAGGAGGGGGCACGGACAGTTGGAGTTGAAGGATGAAGCAGTGCAGACTATAGAAACAGGAGTAGAGAGAGACCGTGTGGCAAAGTTGGTAAAAGACTTCCCCAACCTGATGAGTGGAGGAGGGTTACTGCCAGATCCACCGGACGTGTCTAAGAAAGATAAGTGTGGAGCAGGAGGGAGATGGATTTCGGGGACAGTTCAGTCTTTCACGGTTTCGGAGATGAAAGGGATGCCATGTGGTTCCCACCCCTATCTCCCACGGTTGGAGGGGCAACTGGTCAAGCACCCATGTTGCGGGACAACCTGCGCAGTGTTGAGTGCACCCATTCAGAACCCAGTGGTCAGCTTTACCCCTGGAGTGAAAAAAGTTTGAAAGATGTTAAAGAAGATAAAAATACAAGAGGAAACATCATGTGTTAACTGATGTTGAATTGTTAGATCCCTTCGGTTTGGGAACAGTTGATGTTAATTGGAATAAAGAACCCTTTTTTGTGCCTACTGCGTCATCTCCATCCATTCTTCCCGCCGAAACTCCTGGCCCGCCCACACTCACAAAAGACCCAATCACAACGATATATTTAGCAAAATGTATTTCTTGACTTTACTTCTTCCTAAGTATTCAGTATTGTCAGCAACCTACATCCTAAGTTAGACTTGATTAAATTATTTAGCACATTTCACATCAAAGCACAAGTCAAAATCCTGTTCCATAAAGTACGCTTTTGAAAGGGTGATGACATCACTTGTAGGGGGAGATTTTCTGTAATTAAAGATTTCCTGCTTCTGTCTTGCAACTCATCTGACTCATGTGTAATCAATTTCATTGCACACAAGCTGTGTGACCTCCCAGAACAAAAAAGGAAATTTTTAATTTCAGAACTCTGACTCTGCTGGAAATGTAATCCAGCAGTGGAAATTGCTGTTAAGTAAAAAACGCCTCCTTCAGTCTCAGGATTCACTTGGTTCATGCACAATAAGACTAATTACACATGAATGAGATGAACCAAGGGACAGAGGTAGAAACTCTTCAATTACTAAAAAAACCTATCCTTGTCAGTGATGTCAACACTCTTATGCAAATATAATTAGAGAGCAGGATTTGACCACCAAAATATCTTAAGCAACAGTGACCTCGCTGATACTGGTGTGCAAGGGATTATCTTCTTAGTCTTCTGTATAATTATTGATGTCTCCTATCACACAACAATTAAGCAGGGGAAACAACTAATGCTGGAATATTCCCACATAATATTTTTACTCCTTCACTTCTAAAGAAGAAAACTAGGAGAAAAGTAACATATGAAAACTCAAGTAGGACATGGAAGACAGTCTGAATTCTCTGTAACTGGAAGCTGAACTTGGATTTGTATACAGCTGAAAGGAAGTCAACTAGTAGAGTGGTACAGGAATCCAAAGACGTATAAAGATGAAAATCTCTGCAAGTAAAAACACAGTAGCTCCAGAAAAGGAATAGCTTTATTGAATATTTCAGGGATACTATCCTTTTAAAAATACATCTACACAATTCTATTTCAATGACATGTACAACTGTCATATTACCAGGCTGAAATATTTTAAAGCTTTTATGAAAAGTAAAATAAACAAAATGACAATCAGCACTCAAACACTGTTGCTTAAGTTATGCCTGCAGGAGGTGATCCTATCACCAGCAGGGGGAGACTTTCAATAAATGAAGACTTCATCCTTCTGTCCCATGGCTTGTTCACTTTGCAAGTAGTCCACTGCATTATGTGGGAGACAATGAGCAGAAGGAGGAAGTCTTTAACCACAACAAAATCTCTTCTTAATGGTAATGTCATTTGGCAGAGATTTTCAGTCAATAAACACTTCCTCCTTCCATACCATGGCTTCCAAACAATAAAATGGATTATCTGTGAATTTCCTGAGCTGTAGGACAAGACAGGGAGTATTTAATTACTGAAAATATTCTCCTGATGGCAATATCACCTTTTTGTAAAAGCATCTTATGCAACAAAATTTTAGCCAGCACTTGTTGAAATAAAATTAATCACTGAGTTATGGGAACTGTCCACTGGACCTTTACACTTTCTAATCTGTAATATAAGTATGAAGATGTACCAAAATTATCCTAATGGCAGATCCACTGTAGACCTGAGTATTAAAATATTTCATGTAATGCAGAACATTTCACAGACATAGGCTAAGTTCCACAATATCAAGCTTTATTACCTACATATTACCTGAGGATATTCCCCTCCCACTAATTTTTCTTTTAAACATATTCTTTATGTACTCTGTTGTGATAAAGGTATGGAATGGAGGACAGATGGATATACAAAATACTGTTTGTGTGGCCAAATGGCACTCCAGATGTTGCTGAACTTCAACACCCATCATCTCTCACCATTAAAAAAGTAGCAGTCCAGTAACTTTTGAAGGGCCACACATGCCCTACTCTTCATGCAGAGCCTGCAAATGTGGAGGTACATGCTGCCCCACTCCTTGATAGTTACACACTGGTTTAAAATAGGAACCACACATAAAACCCAGTGAGTCTAGGTTCTGATTCACATTATCTTTCACACCCTGTTTTGGTAAATGAATGACTTAGCAGGTATGACCACAAATAATAGACTTTGATTCAAAGTGATTTCACTTAAAAATGTCAGATGGAAACAAAAGAGGGGCAGGCCGGCATCTAGGGACAGGAAAACCCTCATAACCCCTCAAACCTTTCCCTACCACCACTCAAATTACAGAATAATTGCAGGAAGCTGTTGTTTTCACTGAATGTAACAATTATATTTATTCCAAAATGAAAGATGGTTCAGGCCTTCAATCCTTCAACTGCTCATCAGTGTGGAGTCTGATTCTATTACAAAGGATAAATCTTACAACCTGTTTAGGGGTTTAGTCTTGCAATTGTTCCTACTATTAACTTTCTTGGATTCACACGCAGAATACTGAGTGCTACCTATTTCTTATTCTAATTGTTTAACATTAGAAAAAGAAGCTCAATTGGTATTTTCCATATCCTTTATCTATACACGTTTAATACCTTTATTTCTATATGTAGAACATTTGGCTAATAAAAGCTAGGTTACTCAAATGTCATTGACAATTTAATACAAAATACTGTCGTACATTATTTCAATATAGAAGATATTCTGAGAATGTATTCTCGAAGGCTTTCACAGTCGGGATCTGATGGTTGTTGTGGGTTTTTCAAGCTCTTTGGCCATGTTCTGAAGGTTGTTCTTCCTGACGTTTTGCCAGTCTCTGTGGCCAGCATCTTCAGAGGACTGGAGTAGGAACTCTGTCCATGCTCTATTCTGAGAATATTTGATAGAAATAAACAGACAACTCACTCATATCTTCAAATCCTCAGTCAAGATGTGCTAGAGTTGGAATCCATTATGCTAGCTTATTCAAAAGAACTGTATTTCAGAATGAAATGGTGTTTTCTTTAAGTCATTCCTTAAGTAAACAAATTATCTTCTATTTGGAATGTTAACAGAAAAGAATTCTGATAACCAAGGCACTGAAATACAATCACCATTCATGGCTACAGTCCCAACATGTATTTTGGCAGGGAGACATTGATGCTGATTCACTGTATGTTTGTTTACATTTGTTGTTTCATTGTTTTAGAATAAAAACTCTTTAAAAATGCACTAGGTTAAGTTTTAAGGCAAGCAAGTCTTTCCTAGAGCCACTATCATCACTCTTCTGCTGTAAACTACAAACAACATTCTTTGCATGCTGTCTACCTTCTACACTGTCACAGATATTACACTTTTCCACATGGCCATTTCACTTCCATTCAGTCTACACCAGTAGGTGCAACATAGATGTCACAGGCTGAGAATAGAAAAATGCAATTCATCTGAGCAGTTATTTGAAATCCAATTCACACTCGCTATAAAATTTGTGATGGACAATTTGTTAAATTAGTCTTTTAGCTGGTTCTAGAACACTTTTCCAATGACTGTGTGAAAGAAAAAAAAAAGATAGAAATGCATACATTAAGAACACTCAAATGAGTTATACTGAGGTAACATTGCAGTGCCATAATACAATGTAACACAAGGCAGTGCCTAGAAAGATTTCCTGTCTCAATACTGTTTCAAAAATTAGTAGGATTGTGTTATAACACTCTTTATTTAAATCGTATTTAATTTTTTAAAAACTGTAGCCAGAAAAGCACTTCAGGACTAATTCAAATAATGATTTTAAAAGTTAGTGGCATGATGAAATGGCACATTCCACAAGAATGAATGTTTGCTGAGCTTTCATCCGTTTACATGTCCTGTTTATCAATGCCCTCTCTTGAAACTCCAGCCTTAAAAAAAAAATAGTCCATCTGCACTTATGAAGGAACTGGACTTCCTAGATGAAAAAAAGATGGAAGTCAGGAAAAATATAACTTAACAACGGTTGGAACTCTACTGATGTTCAGGAAAGGTTTGCATAACCTGCTATACCTAATTGTGGTGAACTGACAAGACACTGGGGTACATCTTGGCTGTGCAGTCTGGCACATGACCAGGCCTGTGACTGAGACATGCCTCAAGACCTGGCTAGTCAGCCACAGGAATTTAAACAAATACCAGTCAGATTCTGGCCAACAGGCATATGATGAAATTGTATGGATGCCTCCCCACACCCCCAAAATGCACCTAATCAATGAATGTTCATTCTAGAAGCCTAATGTGGAACCATGCTGAGAACATTTTTAAAGCACCTTGGAAAATGACTTTGATGCTTCTGGCTGGCAAGAAATGCAGAGGTAAGGGAAACACCATTCGACAAACTAAATCTAGATTTTTAAAAAGCAAACATTGTTTTACTTCATGTCATGCTAGTAGCTATCCAGAACACATTACATTTCCATAGGTTTCACTTACATATTAAAAGAAAGATAGAACAAGAGCCTTATAAAGTGTTACAAACAAACTTCAGAGCTTACATATTTGGCAAGCAATTTTCAGAGTCTTTTTCTGCCTGAAGTCTCTGGACTGCATTATCCAGCAAATCCATGCTATCTCGAAGTGTGACACAAAGTGTAAATGGCTTTGGTTTAATAGTCAAGCCATAAGTGAAATCCAGTTTTGAATCTTCTTTTGGATTAGCAGTGAAGTTGCACTGGTGCACCAAGATAGCAATAAAGAGAAAGAGCTGCACTTTGGATAATTCTTCTCCAATGCACCTACGTTTGCCCACTGAAAAAATCATCACACTGCTAGTGAGGTCTTTGTTAAGGAATCCATTCTCATCCAAGAATCTTGCAGGATTAAAATCCTCTGGGGCTGGCCATTTAACCGGATCATGATTAACCGACCACTGATTGACGAAGATCACTGTATCTTTGGGGATGTGATAGCCCATTAAGGTGGTATCGACTGTGGTGCAGTGTGGAATAGTAACAGGCACAAAGCTGCTGAAGCGCATGGATTCATAAAGGAACGCCATGACGTAAGGCAAGTGGGGCTGGTCCTCAGCACAAGGCAAGCGGTCTCTGCCAACTACTTTATCTATTTCTTCTTGCAGCTTAGTCTGCACCTCGGGGTACCTGGTTAAAAATAACAATGACAACACTGTTTTTTAAATCCCTCTCACAGCTCTTCCAACAACAGATGTCATCTCAACAAAGGTGCAGGGAAGTAACAGGCAAGCAAGAGAAAAGTGTTCTCTTTGGAGATGACAGACTATAACTAAAGTTACAGATGATCCATGTGTTTGCATGGAGAGGAGGAAAGAGAGAGAGAGAGGAAGGAGGAGGAATCTCCTTGGGTTTCCTAGACAATCCATTACCCGCTTTGACCTATGCTGACATACCCTTCCACACAGACCAACACATCTTAAGGCTACTGAAGGCACTTTCCTCCCTTCTCATATTTCTCCTTAATCCTCTCTGGAAAAAGGAGACATCTTGCCTTTGTTCCTGATATGCAAGGGGTAGTCATGAATCCAAACCTCCACTTTAGTTTGCTAGAATAAGGACATCTATCATCTTTCCTTTCAATGTTTTTCTTTCAATAAATAAATGTTCGATTTTTTCTGAGAAAAAATAATTTTGGGTGCAGTTCCTTTCAAAGGATGAAGTGGGCTCTACCAATTCTCCTGTGCTACTTAACATAGCTGCGGCTCACTGTGTTGGCATATTTCTTATTTGCAAACGGTGGGTTTGCTACACACATTGTTGAATTTCACATGCTGAATTTGTATCACCAACGCTCAGATTGTTGAGAATTGTAGTCCAGCAACCTCTGGAGGGCCAAAAGCCCATCAACTCTGGACACACTAAAATCCTGTATGGTATTATCTCTATATATGAAGAAATTGCCAAAAAATTATGCTTTCTATCTCTATATAAATAGTTTGCTAAATAGATTCACATCAATTTTCTCCATTTCTTGACATATTTAGCATCTATACAGAATACACAAATGAAACAATGTTTAATTCTCCAACACAGCACAGAGAAATCAAACAACCTGAAACGCTACACTTGAAAAAAGAATGCACATTACTGTACATGATACTCAAGATTATATATTGCATTTAAACATTTATTTTTTAAAGAAATGAGTCAGAAGGGTTTGAGGAAATTCTTCCTCTCAGACCCTCCCAATAACTAGAAAAAAATTAAAGGGAAATATTTCAACATTTTCTCTTTTAATCTATTCCCTCTCCAATATTTTAATTTTATCTACCAAGGCAAATATACTCAAACAGCAATCCTGCACACAGATAGTACATTTAAATACTAGTTCGGGCTAGTCACCATTGGACACCTGTAGGCTGCACTTTTATCATTATCACCACTAAATGCCTCACTGACTGGACTCTGTAAGGGTTCTAAATACCATTACCTTTAATTTGCAGCTATTCCTCATTTCCCACATTTATTAGCAGAGAAAATCCATTAAGGAAAAAAAGATGGATGCTTTTCCATTGTGAGCAACTGAAGACTTCAACCCAGAGAAACCTAAAAACTCTGCATTAAAAAAAATCCATGCCATACATTCACAATAAGTGTATAGAGTATGTTACAGTAGCCAGAGAAACAGGCCTTCAAACTGAGGCTCCCTGAGACTAGTGGGGCAGGAAACAGAGTTAACAGAGGTGACACCAACTATGTCTAACTTACTACCCAACCCCCTTTCCTTGCTTGCCTGATCAAAATAAACCAGGGTGGGCAACATTTAACCCTGAAAAGCATAACTGTGTAAGTCTTCCTGGGGAGTTCATTTCACTAAACAAAGTGGTATCTGGAAAGGCCCTCTCTCTTGGGGTTACCTAAGTAGTTTAAGGGATCCCTTACACTACTTACCTACCTCACCTAATCTGGCACAGTCAGATGGAAGAAAGCCTCAGATTAAGACCTCAGAGTCTAGGTAGCTAGGAACAGGAAAAGTTAACCTGCTCCAAATAATTTAGGGTTTCAAAAATTCAAATCAGCACTTTGGATTAGATCTAGAAATGGATCAGCAGCACCCAATGGAGACAACGAAGTGCTGGCATAACATCATATTCATCCATACTATATTATTGACATAATATGGCCAAACTGGCCCTTTGCTCAAAAGCTTTCTGTGAAAAGGAGTCATTGAAATCCCTGAGGGCAAAGTCTGGATTTAACCCATTGTCCTGTTGCCTTTTTTACCAGTTTTTTCTTCAACACAAGAATTTACCACTGTAACAGTGAACTAGATTTTGTTTTCTTAAACAACTTTCACATTTGGCAGTCTTCCCAGAACTTCTGTGTTAGTTATTCATAAACATCTACGCTCTTCCTGCCTCACTGCACTTCTGTATTTTTTCCTCACCTTTTTTTTAAAATTATGCAATATTTAATCCATCCATGTTTTCATTATCGGTCTTGAAATTAATTCTGACTCTAGTATGTTCTGCACCACATTTCTTTTATTCAACAAAAAGTATCCAATAGTACTTTCATAGATTCCTTCTTCAACTTTTTGTGCTTCCTCCCAACCCCAGCAAATTTGCTCTGGAAGGTTGAAGGACCTTTCAGAACAACATGGGTCATGGAGAGGGGTCAATGGGAAACAGAAATAAATGAAAATCCCCACTACCCCTTCTCATTGGCAGGACTGTCCTGAGCAGAAGTCCATTAAAGGGGACATTCCCACTGAAGGTCCAAAGCCTGGATCCAGCTTCTTGTCAACAGCAGCATGACTAACTAGCAAGACTGGTGAGTACTGAATATAGATCTGATGGACCATTATTTTTGTTTACTAAATAATTTTTGTTTACTACTTAACTACTAATTTGCATCACAAAAGGACTGAAGGAAAGAAATACTGTACATACCCAGAAGTCATTTCGATTTTGCTAAGATTTTATGCAGCAAGTTTAAGATTCATAAAGGCTGGCAGTGGGATGCTCTGTTAGTCTGTTGCAACTTAAGCCTGTCTTGTGGGACCACACTGATACAGTGCCACAAAACAAAAAAGTGGGGAATGTGGAAAGTGCAAGAGCATTTCAAAGGAGCTTCAAAGAGCATTTCAAAATGTTCATTCTACACTCCCAGCTAGGCTTTAAAAAGCTTCACAAATTGTCCTGCTATGATTCCAACCTGTTGTAAATTGGCTCAAAACTTTACAAACTGTCAGTTCTAACAGCCTTTGTACTCTTGTAATCAGAGGGCTATACCTGAAAACTTGGCTTGCCTGATTAAAGATTTTTCTTTTTTTTTTTGCCTGTTCCTGGGATAAGTTGCTTTCTCTTCATCTGTGCATCTGATGAAGGACCCTGCCACCCATGAAGCTTATGCCAAACAAAAAAGACTTATGCCACAAGACATAGGATACTGTCAAAAGACTCTCCATCCTATGAAATCTTGCAACAGTGCTACTCACCTCTAAACTGTTCTCACCGACATCATTCCATGCTGGACAATACCTTTATTGAACCAAACAAATTGTCACAAGAAAGGGTGCAAGCTCTTTGGCTTCTTTCATCAGGCTGGATGTGAATCAAAGCCTGATGAAATAAGAAGGGGGGGAATTCTGAATTACTCCCAGGTAAGGTATTGTAGCTATAAGGTCCACACATAAACTCCACCACTTTTACTTTCACCCTTCAGGGAAACCTAAACAGGTCAACAGTCAAGGGCCAAGTTATATGTTATACATAACCTTTTATTAGAGCTGAAATCAGGGGGTTGTTTCACAGATGCAATACCAGTGCAAACTAAGCTCGGTTTAGGCTCCCCAGGACTTGCGTGAGAAAAGTTTCCGCTGTTACAATCGTACATCCTTAAGTACTTCAGGAATCACTCTTCCAATAAGAGACACCCTGTACAGTTTAGCCTTGAGTTTCAGTCTCTCCCCCCCCCCCCAACCAACCCAAGCATCTTCTCTCTACTGACAGATGCCCAACTTCTCCCTTAGCCTGGCATTTTCGCAGCTCTGCGACCTTCAGCTTCCTCGGCCACCTGCCCAGCGCCTCCTCTCCCAGCCCGGCGTCAGCTTACCTGATCAGGAAGATCAAGAGCCACTGCAAGGCGGTCGAGAGGGTGTCTTGGCTGGCGCCGAAGATGTCGGTGACGGTGGCCGGCACGTGCTCCACCGGCAACCCGGGCTGGGCCTGCTGGAGGAGAATGAAGGCGTCCATGAGGTCGCGGAGCGGCTCGCCCGGGCGGAGGCTGCTCTGGTGCCACACGAACTTTTGGCGCACGAAGCTGTAGAAGTCGTGGTTGAGGGCGCGGAAGGCGCGGAAGGCGGAGCGCACGGGGTTGGGGAAGCGCTGCAGCCAGGGCAGCACGTCCACCAGGCTGCCCGCGCCCACCGTGCGCCCGAACTGCTCGTTGCGGCCCAGCAGGCGCCGAAACTCGGCGTCGGCGTGGCTGTAGCGGCGGCCGAAGCACAGGGCGCTCATGACGTTGGCCACGGCC